GAGTTTCGGAGCTTGCTGTAGTGTGTACACAGTGGTACATGGCCCTGGCCTGGGACCTGGCTTGGTTTCTCAAAGTCAAACTCAAATTCGGGGCTTTACTTGCTTGGTGGCTAATAGAGAAGCAAGGAAATTTGCTTCCCTGTACAGAAAGGTGCGAGGAAGGAAGGCCGCTCCGTTGAGTGTCTACCCTAGGCCCTGTGGGCTTCCATAATATTCTGCATTGGATGATTTCGACGAGTTGACGAGTGAGAAGTGACCGGTGAAAGTATGGACACCGAAACCTGCCACAAGTCGGAATCTGCCGACAATGTCGTTCAAGCTTCTCCTTCAATGTCTGGATGGCAGTCGATGTGCAAAGATTTCAAGGACAGTTACCTGATGCGGATACACACAGCATTTTGGCTGCTTGGGCTGTGCAATCACTTCGGTGGCGTCATTATCCTGAGCGGTGCTCATGACATTGTGCGTGGACAGGATCATCATGAAGTCCGAACCTCTGGTCGACCTCATCGTTATGGTAGTGCCGGCGGCGGTGGCGGCGTGAACAGGTCATATGGCAATGAGACACAGTGTGACGACCTGGAATGCAACCAACACAGTACAGCCATAGTGCTATTGGCACACGTCGTGCCGGCACTGCTGATGAAGCTCCTTGCGCCGCACGTCACACACCTTATCTCGTTCAACATACGCGTTGCATCCTGCATGATGCTGTGCATAAGCAGTCTGCTGGTGGTGGCGTTGGTGCACGAGCGCATGCTCAGCTTGGCCGGCGTCGTGCTGATGAGCTTGTCGATGAGCTTGGGCGAGGTCACCTTCCTCAGCATGACGGCACAGTTCCCCGTGTCGGCGGTGTCCTATTGGTCATCTGGCACTGGTGCGTCGGGCGTGATTGGCGCTTGGGGCTACGTGCTGATGCGTCGTCACCTATCGCCTCGCGACTCCATGCTGGTCTGTCTTGTTGCCCCAATCTTGATGGGCTTGACCTATTGGAAGATTTTGAAGCTACCCACACTATCCCATGGAGAGGCTGTGGTGACCATCAAAGCGAACTTGGACGACGACAGCAGCAGTGATACCATGTCAGTCTCATCTGAGGCCTCGCTCGATCCCAAGCATACTGAAGTGCTGTGGAAGTCTCGGCGCCCCTTGAAATCCGCCCCAACGTCGCTTCGCAACCGCATGCTTCAGCTGAGAGTGCTGCTCCAGTACATGGTTCCACTATTCTTTGTCTACTTCGCTGAGTATCTCATCAATCAGGGTCTCTATGAGCTGATGATTTGGCGAACGTGTATCTTCATTGATCCTGGTGAGCAGTACCGCTGGTTCCAGGCTCTCTATCAGTTTGGTGTCTTCATCTCCAGGTCATCATCCCAGATTTTGCCTATCAATCCAATCTGGCTACTGTCCACGTTGCAACTCGTCAACTTGGGTGTTCTGTTCATTGAGGTAGACAAGCACATCTTCCCCAATATCTACATTCCATTTGTCTTCACTTTCTATGAGGGCTTGTTGGGTGGTGCTTGCTACGCTAATGCATTCACCAGGATCCATCGTGAGGTTGCTCCGGCTCAACAAGAGTTTTCTCTTGGCGCAGCTAGTGTTGCTGACTCACTGGGCATCGCAGTGGCCGGAGTCACGGCACTGCCCATCCACTCGCACTACTGCAGTATGTGGGCGAGGAAGTGAGCCCTGTGGACAGTCTACGAGGTCGCTGCGAGTGTGTGCTTGCGTGTGTGTGTGTGTGTTTGTGTGTGTTTGTGTGTGTGCGCACACACGCGTGCATGCGTACGTGTTTGTGTGCATGCCGTGCGCGTGCGTTTACACATGTGTGTGTGTGTGTATGTGCAATAAGCCCAAAGCATAGTTGCTGTATGCCATTTGAAGCAACAGCAAGAACTGTTCGTGCTGCTATGTCTTGTCTCTCTACTCACTTGTAAATCACAGACCGATTGTTCCTATTCTTGTTTTCTATATATTTCTGACCTATCCCATGCTGCTGAACTGAATGCATGCAGTAGATAATAGTTTCACTGACCTCATTTTGCCGGAGTTTGGAATCCTTCCCTCTTCAGAGTAGTTACAGCTTGCTGAGTCCCCTTACCTTTCTTGCTCCTACCCTTAGTTTCTACACTATTCCATCTGTAGAGCCAACCCTATTAGTATTTGGCAAAGCCTGGGCCGCCGACCCAGCGCCAGCTAGATCCTAGACGCAGCGCACAACTATTTGTGTAGCTCGCACAAATCAACCGTCTTACATGCATGCTTTCTCCTGCGGAAGAGAAATCTACTTTCTTTTCCACCGTAGTGTTTTGAGTTTCTCAGACGCTCCCAACCACGTTTCTTCAAGGCCAGTTTATTATACCCGGCAGTGCTCTACTGCTTTAAAGGGGAAGTTAAGGCAAAAATTAAAATTTCACCAGTTGTAGTCTTCGGGGTGCTGAGTCGAATGGTCGTGGTCCGAGGAAGCTGAGACGCTCCCTTCCTACTTGAATCCCAATCGAACTCGCGCACTTCCACCGAAACTGGGTGACTGCGCCCTACTAGATGGGGATTTGTATGCAAAATGTCACTAAAAGCGCCATTTCGTTCTTATAAAAGCACGGATGACCGCGATTGGCCCATATGTTGTAGTCTTTTGGACGCTGAGTCGACTGGTTTTGGTCCGAAAAGGCTGCGATGCGGCGTTCCTCCTTTATTCCCAATCGAACATGGTTGAACAAGCGGTCACGTGCTCCTGCGTACACCAGTCACCGTGCCTGCAGGGTACAACTTACTAGCCTGTTTGACCTTTTTTGGGTGCAGTCCTGTCACTCGAGTTGAACTCGAGTTGAACCTTGGTGTGAAAGTTGTCACCTGCTGGCGTGGTGACCAGGTGATTTGGGCACCCAGGAGCACGTGACCGCTTGTTCAACCATGTTCGATTGGGAATAAAGGAGGAACGCTGCATCACAGCCTTTTCGGACCAAAACCAGTCGACTCATCGTCCAAAAGACTACAACATATGGGCCAATCGCGGTCATCCGTGCTTTTATAAGAGCGAAATGGCGCTTTTAGTGACATTTTGCATACAAATCCCCATCTAGTAGGGCGCAGTCACCCAGTTTCGGTGGAAGTGCGCGAGTTCGATTGGGATTCAAGTAGGAAGGGAGCGTCTCAGCTTCCTCGGACCACGACCATTCGACTCAGCACCCCGAAGACTACAACTGGTGAAATTTTAATTTTTGCCTTAACTTCCCCTTTAAGGAGCTCCACTTCTTCTATCCTAGAGCATCGACCTTGTATCCTGTCCTTGCCTTGAAACCAAATGTTATTATTATCTTTAGGACTGATTCATAGAGAGCTTCAGCCATAGCTGGTCTTGCACGCACTGTGTCATCCGAGAAAAGGTTTGCGATGGCACTGTTGTCAATGCAGATGTGCACAGATGCTGTTGTGCCTTGAATGTGTGTGTTTGGTGTGTGTGTGTGTGTATGTGTGTATGTGTGGTGTGTGTGTGTGTGTGGTGTGTGTGTGTGGTGTGTGTCTGTGTGTACATGTGTGCTATGGCTTCTGTTCTAGCATTGCTATCATTTCCTCCAGCATTGGAGGCCAAATGTCAAGGTGTGTGCGACTATCGGGCTACGCCCCCCCCCCCCCCCTCTCTGTCTCTCTCTATGGGCATGAGGAGTTCTGGTCCCTCCCAACTCAGAGAATCAGGGTGTTGTGGCACATGGGGGCTCTCTCTCTCTTTCAAGACCACATGTGACTTCTTGCCAATACCATTAGGGGTGGGTGGGATAATCTAAGAATTGTCAAGAGCACATACCGGTAACCCCTGTACTCTTGGCATTGTTATGCACATACATGACGTGTACATGAAGGAGGTGTGGACTGTGACATGTGGAGACTGGACTGGAGGAGCATACGCTGGTACATTGTACTCGCGTTTCTCCGCCGCCCCCCCCCCCCCCCCCCCTACACTCATCAGTAATGCCATGTATCCATGGTACCTGCGGTGGTCTACTGTGACACACTGCCCGACTCGGACATCATGTATCACTGGTACACTTCATCAAGAGTACAATGTACTCTTGACTTCATGCATAAGCCTGTCACTGAGAAGTACAATGTAGACCAATGGCAATGGCGGCAATGCCAGGCAATGGCAATGGCGGCAATGCCAGGCAATGGCAATGGCGGCAATGGCATGCAATGGACCAGTACCGGTGCCTTACTACTGGGCCCTAGCCTAGGCCCTGAAATCATGTCAGGAAGTCTCAGAGAAAGAAGTCACAGTTTTTGGATAAGTAACTTAGTTACACAGTAGACTACACGTGTAACAGTTCCTGCTCGAAACCCACCGATCGAGTTGCATGTCTAATTGTAGTTGCGTGACTGTCTACAACATGTAAAATGATTGTGTCTTGCTGCGAATCTAGAACCTGCAGCACTGTCTGTCCAGTGTCCTCACCTATATTTGTAGCGTTGCAGTGGCTATAAATGCAGTGGGCACCGTGAATGTTCTATCGTGTGTCGATGGCGATCCCAGTGGACTACATACCAGTAACTAGTAAGCATACAGCAGTCCAGGTCCTAGCAGTAGCAAGCCTGCCAGGACCATGGGAGACTCGTGCCCATACATGATTGAAGTTTGGTATTATAATTATAACCTTACACTGGTTCAAAACCAGTATTAGATAAACCTTGTTATAGTTCACGCATATTGTTAGATTGACAGCATGAAACAAGGTGGAGGACACTGTGTTCGGAAACAGTGACCTTACTACAGTAAATATCGGATATAACGTGCCCCTTTGATTTTCGAAAATGTATCACTATATCCGGTGCATCACTATAGCCGATTTGCATGTTTGACCGACACATGGCACATGACTGCACATGAAATGATGCGTACACGCTGGAAAAAGCATGCTGAAAGTGCATGCATGCTCCGCGGACTGTGTACCGGTGCATGACACAGAGCAGTGCATGGCAGTGCAGTACGAGTACAGACTGTCATGTACTAGAACTTCGATACATCATGTGGCATGGCTGCTTCTTCAGCGTGTTCTCCAAAAAAAGCCTGAGCTGGATCCGTGCTCACGTAGATCGTAGATCTACTCGGTGTCCAACGAGTTGCGTAGAGCCAGAAATAGACATGAGTGGCTGTGTACGTGAGTTGGCAACATCATCGTGAGAGGCAACACAGCCAGAAACGGACAAGAGCATGCAGAAAGATCACTCTTGATCATTATATGCGATATTTTCCTGTACATTTGATATGGTTTGCTTCCTGAAGGCCATCACAATAAGCGATATATCGGTATAGCCGATAATAGTGTATATAGTGATATTTTAGCTGTATTTTTTCAGATTTGATTTTGATTTTGACGTGTTCTATCACTATAACCGGTATATCATTATATCCGGTCACTTTATAAACGATACTTACTGTACAACCTTCCGCGGTTGGCAGAGCCCGGTCCCTGCGGACCATTTGAATCATATGCAGGCGCGTGCTCGGCGATTGGCACGGGGGGCACGTGCACCCCCCAAAAATTTTCAATCTGGGTAATTGCAATTGTAATGCATGCAAATATGCTCTAAAATTCAAGAAAGGTTGCAAACAAATTGCAGAAAATTGCCGGGGGGGCTCCCCTCGGCTCCCGTGCACCTCCCTAGTTGGGGGGGGGGGGCGAGCACGCCCCTGATATGGGTCCGGTTGAGCCCGGTTCTGACCCTCTTTATGCTAGGGGGTAGGAGACTACTCCTTACGTTCGTCGTGTATTCTTTGATCGTTCCTTTATGTCGTCCTGGTAGTCATGTAGCTACTTAACTTGTAAGCAGCAACTGGAACATTGCCTGGTCCGGTGGCTTTACGGCTTTTCATGCGTTGGATGTAGTATTGCACTTCCGGAACACTGACTGATGAAAACTGAGCTAATGAGTATTCACCGGGTAGAGGGCTGTGGGGCATGCAAGGTGCACTATCAGAAATCGAGGGATCGTTCACGACTTTCGCAAATGTCTTTGTGATGTCGGAGACATTATCAGCAGGTTCCTGATTTGCTTTAGCTCTGCCAAGTAGACTGTTTATAATACCCCACTGTTCTCTTGGGTGGCCTTTGTGGCAGACAAGTTGTTCTTGGAAGTATGTCGACCGTTTCTTTCTAGTTAGGTATTTGCATTGCCTGCGAAGTGCTCTAAACTGTTGTACGAGATCTGACTGGTCTGGGTGTCTGAGCATTTTATGCTAAAAGTTATCATATTATGCCGCATTATGCTCACATATGCTGCTAGCTAATGTATATTATAGCAATAAAAACTGCTTTATGGCAGTTTTCTAAAAAATGTTATTGTGTTCTAGTCCATGGACCCCGTCTAAAAAGTAAGAAATTAACGAAATGTGATAGCCGAAAATTAAAATTTCACACAAAACCTCACAATAATCACAACAGTTGAAATGCTGCTTTCAACACTAAAGATGTACTGCACCAACAATTGGCAACATGCATTTCATGCCTGCATAGGAAAGAGGATCACGAGGGGAAAAGGTCTTCCACATGTAGCTTTTCATTCTGTGTGTGATTATTGTGAGGTTTTGTGTGAAATTTTAATTTTCGGCTATCACATTTCGTTAATTTCTTACTTTTTAGACGGGGTCCATGGACTAGAACACAATAACATTTTTTAGAAAACTGCCATAAAGCAGTTTTTATTGCTATAATTTCTTTTGTTTTTTCTGTCACCAATCAATGGAATGCCCTATATCAATATGTAAATGATGGCCTTCATATCATATCAATACCGTATTATACGCATTGAGGTGCAAGCCTTTTCTTGCAGAAAATGGCACTAGGCTAGCATGTTCTTCTGCGGGGAAACATGTGAGTAGTGATGGACCGTGTTGATACTTTTTTATACGGAGGTCATTCTGTGCAGGTTGCTGTAGCAGAATTTCATGACTGTCATAATAATAATAATCTAGCCTTTCAGATATCCCCACCCTGGATCAGATTTATTTGAGAAATGTAACCAGGTGCGTGTCGCAGATGTTTTTGTTGATTCTGTGTTTATAATGGTTTATAATCATGGGTTATCGTGATAAGGTTATCCTGCATCATATTGCACTGAAATCGTAATCCTGTTGATGTCGATACAACTTTTGGAAGTAGTTCAATGACTTCAAACTGTTAGTCCACGATTTTCTAAAACAACACAGCAAAGGAGGAACAATAAACATGTATTAAAATGTAAACAAATACATTGCTGAGTCCGACACCTCGTTCCAACAACTACACTGATGAGGATAAAAGGGGCAAGGCTATGCTTGGAGGTACTGAGAGATAAACAAGGCACTCCATAAATAATAAAATCTTACA